AAATATTATGAAAGTTTTTAATATTTTTAAATCATTTATATATTTGTTTCATATGGCAAATAAGCAATGCTTGAATAATTTTACTTAATTTATTTTATTTTCAGAAACAACCCACCATCTTCTGTTTCTGAGAGTGATCAAGAACTCATAAAAGAAGAAATGATTTGGAGGAAGAAAAGAATGAGTGCAACCAGAAGAAAGAAGTCTCAGTCAACTTCTGGACCAAGCAATTCAAAAGATGATGCACCTGTGAAGAAGCTTGGGAAGTCCATTCTGGCAACTTCTTATCTGAAGGAGCAATGTGCAAGTTTGCAATTAGATGAACTGAATAAGCAAAATTGTGTGACTGTTAATGATGTTCTCAAGGAAAAAAGTTGCCATCCATATGATGACATTGAAGTTATTCCTCAATAATAATCATGTAAAAAGTTTCATTTTCATGCTTCTGATCTGTTCTGAATTTTTGTATGTGTATATATAATTTGATGTTTATTATTGTGAAATCAATTTGTTTTTTGAATGTATTGTATCTATTCAACTATCAACGTATTGGTGTAACTTGAAATACTTATGTATAGTGAAAACCAGTACACAAAGAATTATTCAAATTTTTCTTCAAAAGATTGTTAGATATTTTTTCCTTCTTTATTTTGCTCATATTGTGAATGCTGGTGACTTTTTTGTTTTATTGTGTGAGATTTATGTGTACAGTTTGTTTGAATCTTGTCATGAACACATGAAATGAAACATTTATTTTTATTTTTGCAAGATCACAGGGTTTATAATCATATGATAAATAATGCAGGTAATAACTGCACACAGAAGACAAAGTATACAAAATAAGTGAGTTATATAAAAACTGCAACAGAAAAGTCAGATAACACTGGTTTAGGCAATTATTACATAACTTTCACATTTTCATTCATAACTCAAAAAATAGTTGTTCAAATTGACTGAAAATTTGATAGATTATAGAACACATGTAGGAGCACCTTTGCTAAAGTTTTCATGCTTCAGCTTTGTGTTTTTAGGAAATGGGAGCGTTTTTAAAAAGTGTAAAAATCGCGCCACGTTACATAAGACTCTATGGAAATCCGCAAAAAAAAATTTAAAATTCTGCCAAAAATTGAATTTTTAAGTTACAAAATTCTACTTAGTCTCAAAAGATGCAAAATTGCATTACCTGTAAAATGAGAATTTTTTCAAATTTTAGCATGAATAGAAAGTTTCAAAATGCAAAAAATGTTAAATTTGTTGGAAGCGACATCTGTTCAAGTGCACCATAAACTGCGCGATTTTGAATGGATTTTCAGGTGCGCACATGGGCAGCTGCATTCGTCTGCGCCAATCAATCAATGGGTGCACTCTCCCTACAATTAGCAATTTTCACTAAATTGAAAATAACTTAGTAAATAATGAAAATAATTTCTCAAAACTTTTTGGACCTACTCTTTTGACATTTTTGACATATTTTTATGACATTCAAATAAGAATTCTGACATATTATTTTAGGCTCCAGTGAGACTTGGGGAATGGCCACCCATCCACGTAGAGGTTGCAATTTTTGAGGGGATGGGTGTGCAGAATCCTCACTGGGAGCCTCAGAAGGTTTTTGGAGTGTGAACTGTGCACATCTGTGTGACTGTTAGTGAAATTTTTGCACTTGGGTGCTGAGTTTCATTTTTTCCAAGTGTCCGCGTGCACTTGTTCGCCCTCAGGGGATATTCGCGTATGGTAATTTAGAATTGGCTTAAGCCATTTTTAATTACAATTTTTCACTTTTTATCTGTACTTAGGCAGTTTTGAGTGAACTTTGTGGTGTTCTAAACCGCAGAGGCCTAGAATCGAAGTGCACCCAGAATCGCGATCTGGGATTGTAGGTTTGGTTTGTGGCCTTTTGCCAAAGATCTACACAAATTTTATTTAAAACATCCAACGTCTTTTAGTGCATTTTTTCTAGTCACGCAGCGTTACGAAGCACTGCTCAGTTGCTTGCATTCACATTGAAGGTGTGAGTGCAATACTGAGGTGTGTTTCTAAACATAAGACGTCGCTGTCAAGTGCCCTAAAAGTTCTCTTGTCCTACGTTTTTCGCGTTTTCAATTGTTGATGGTTTTCTAGGCCGTCTTTTGTGGGTCCCGCACTCTTGATTGTATTTAAGTGTAGCAGAAGGCCTTGTGACTTTCTGCCTCTTGCCCGGGCTACTAGATCTTATCCGTTTGCCGTGTCCTTTCACTTAAGTGTTTCCCGCAAACTTATTTTGTCGGGGAACATTACTAGTGAACACAGGGCAAACGCTTATAAGTCGTAGTTTTAACGGACCAGCGTAGATCTACATTTATCTTAGATTAAGATTGTGGGGACTAACAGGAAGGGCTTGGGTTAGCCTCATCCTTAAATTGTTTACATTCCTATACAGAGTTTGATTGATTATTAAGCTGTAAGTTTAACATTAAGGTATTCTCAACAAAACTTGCCATTTTTGTGCCACTGCCAAGGATCACTGGGATTCTTGCAGTCGTCGTCATTAGTGGGGGTCTACTTGATCTAGCTTTTTGTTATAATTGCCCTTGGTTTTCAATCTTACTCCCTAAATATTTCTTTCGCTATCTGTGGGTAGGACAGCTGCAAGCGAGCAGCTCTACTGCTTGTTCCAAGATCCCCCCTCAATCTTTTTTGAAAACCTGAAAGGAACGCCAAACAATTGCGAGGTGCTTCCGTAAGTCCAAGAAAGAGCTTGGCCAAGGCAGTCTTCAACTGCTTTGTAGGTTTTTAAGAGCTAAGAAAGCTCCATCCTTTGCGTTAAGCCATCTGCTTGATGTAAAGAACGTTTGATTATTCTTTGCTAAGAAGGGCGTTAGCACGCCAAGTGCATCTTAGCAAATTTGACAAAAGCAAGTTTTAATCTTGAAAACTTGAATTTGACTGTCATTTTAATTTTGATATTGACTTTACGTTAAAAGACTTAGTGTTATTTTTACTTGAGAAGAAACGTTAACGTTATTTTAGCGTTCCATTTGCAGTTATCATTTTGTTTCTGTTTGTTGAGCAAAGCATTTGCGGGTGGAAGGCGGGCCAATAACGTTAAACGTTAATATCGTTGAACTGATTAAATAATTAGAATCTGAATCTTGTAATGTTTTTAAGTTGAAAAAGAGAAAGCTTGTGTTCAATTTACAAGGTTTGTGCACTAATTATTCCTTTGACTTTTTATTCTCAAACTTTCAATTTCCAAGCACCAATAAGGTTCTTGGATTCTTCTGTTTTAACTTACTTACCATTGGTTCTTAATTGAGTACTCAATAGTGCTCAATAGATTCTTTGTTCTAAAAACTTTTAGTTTTACAATTGTTTGCCTGATTTAAGCTTTTGCTAGCTCAATCTGCTCACATAACGTTTTCAACCGATATTGTTAATTTAACATTACGTTAGTGAAAGTTTCAGTGAAATGCAAACTTAATTGACTGAAATCAACTTGGTTTTGCTTTGAAGAGTTGAACAACCCTTCAAAGCATATTGTGGTTTCTTGTTAGTTCTTTAAAGAATAAAATTGCTTGGTTGCGTGTTCATTCTTTCACTACGTTAGCGTTCTTTTATCAACTGTTGCACTCTTGGTGCTATTCTTTCTTTGAACGTTTGCCCACTTGGCGCTGAACAGCTCCTCTGTGGAATAATAGTTCAAAATTGCATTCTTGCTCTCTGCTTTGTCTTTTACTTTTAAAAGATTAAAACGTTGACTTTAACGTAAGTAATTCTGAAGCACTAACTTGAAGATTGAGTTAGGCCAGGAATTTACGGAAAGGGGCTTTGCGTTAAAGTAAATACATTTCATTTATTCAAACTTGAATTGGTGAAGAGTGTTTTTATATATTAAGATTAACGCTCAAGAAAAAAACTTAGATTCTTGATCTAAGGGGCTGGGTTCTCTATTTGAGGGTAGGAGCGTTAATTGTTTTAACTGGTTGCAGGAGATTGTCCTGGGAAGTAAGACCTGAAGGTGTCATTGACACAAAGATTGGCTGTTTGTTTCTGAGGCTCTTGTTTTAAATCTGAGTAGTGGGAAAGTTTGCTAGCATTGTCTGCAAGCTGAAATTTGTTAAGGCATTTTGTGGCGTCTGTAGTGTTTTTACGCTGCAACCCATCTTGATCCTTAACAGCCCATTGGTTTGTGCTTTCTGAGGTTTAGCGGTGTTTCACCGTGCGCTAACAGGAACGCAACCTATTGTGGTTTTGCTCTTTGCTGCAGAGTCCAGTGTTAGAGCTGGTTCTGTGCAAGACAACTGCAATATTGATCTGGTGCTTCTTTGAGGCAGCTTAGTGTTTTGCTGAGTGTCTAGAGAACACAGATCCCTACTCGGTTTACTGTCTGGTGCCTCTGAACAGACAAGCCTGTGCATTTTCCAGGCAACCCTGACTTCTTCTTGCCTCTGGCAGAACTTTGCGCTCTTCACGCCTATTTAGTATTCCTTTACAACTTAAATCAAGAACAGAACTGTTATCCATTTTAATTAATATATTAAAAACAAACACTTTAGCACTCTCTGCTAATTCACTCTAAGTTAACCTTGAAGTTAAGAGGGCCTCAGTCTTTTGTTTCTTTGAAACTGACTTTAACGTTAACGAGTGTCTTGGAGCTAATAGAGGCTAGTGTCTAATACCATTAAAAAAACTCCAGTGACCTAAAATTACTACAACGTACCTTTCTTCTGAGGCACCCGCAGGACCCCTTGCAGTATAGTTCTGTCTGTTCTTAGTCTTTGAGTTTTGTTTACGCCTAGGAGTATAGTTCATAAATCGGAGGGAGGTTTTTATACGGAAACCTGCTGTTGGCAAATTTAATTAGTAAACACTGATAAACTTAAAGGGTAAGCACTACAGAATCTGATATTTTGATTGGTTTGTTCAATAGAAATATGATTTCAAAAATGTTTTTGCTTATATTCACTTTATTGTAATATAAACAAAAGCAGCAGCAATCAGCAAGGTGCATTGTGATGATACTCTGGGACTTGAGGAATCAGGAAATGCCTCTAATTTTGGAATGTATGCTGTGAGACTGCCAGTAACTAAAAAAACCTTACAACACATCTGTCACTTCCTATAAATATAAATGTTTATTTACTTTAAATTTAATTATGTTTAGGTATATTTTTATGTTGCTGTATCACTGTATTCAATTAACATTTGAATGTTAAACATATTGAGTGGAGCACCTTCATAAATAAATTCAATTGACCTCACATTTCATTTGAAAATTTTTAAAATTATTATAAACTGTTTTTGATAACTGATTAAAAAATAGGAATTCAATGAAATCATTTTTGAGAACATTTGAATTGATTATTTTATATACCTGAAGACCACCTCTTGAACAGGTATGATATATTTATGCATTTATTACAGTTTAAATATATTTATTTTGATTTTTATAAATATATTTTTGATGGCAATGTAAAATGTATCATCATGAATGTATTTTTAGTGTTGTCCTGATAAAAGAATAAATTTCCCACATTCAAAAAACCATATAGAAATTGAATTTTAAATTTTTCATTTTAATTAAATTATGTTTATTTTAATACATATTAAAGCCTTGGGATTGATATATTTTTGCATTTATTCCAGTTTAATTATATATATTTTAATTTTGAATAATATATTTTTGTTGGCGATGTAAAATGCTTCATCGCCAATGCATTTGTATTGTTTACATTAATCATCACCCATGAATATATACATCTTTTTTCGGACATTCTATTTTATACCAATCTTCATGATAAACAGACATTTTAATTATTGATTTTACGATTAGTTTTTATAGTTATTTGGCATTTCTGAAGCTTAAGTCATTTTAAAATACACTATTTTCTTAAAGTTATATATGAATAAGCATTTTGAAAACCAGTTATTCTCATGCATTTTTTGGGATGTTTCAATTTATTATTTCACATAGCTAACCCTCACCTCATGACCAGGTATGATATATTTATGCATTTATTACAGTTTATTTATATTCATTTTAATTTTTATAAATATATTTTTGTTGGCAATGTAATATATATCATTGCCAATGCATTTAACATTGACTTTTTGGTTAGCTATGATAGATTTATTCATTGTTTTTGCCCATGATTTTTGTTTTCTTGGCATTTGCAATGTTTATCTTTGCATGTAAAACTGTATTATTAATATTTATATGTGAATCAGCATTGTGAAAATCAGTGCTCATCATGCATTTTTTTAAAAATTTTAATTCATTGTTGCACATCGCTAATCATTATCTTTTAAGAAGCTATGATGCTTTTACGCATTTATTTAGGGAAAGTTTTAATTAATTTAATATTTGAACACATATATTCATTTGCGATGTAACGTCTCTCATCGCAAATGAATCCAGAATGACATTTTGGTTAGCTATGATTGATTTATTCATTGCTTATGCCCTTTGTTTTCATATTTTTGTGGCATTTGCAATGTTTAATTTGCATGTAAAACTGTATATTATTAATATTTTTTTGTGAATCAGCACTTCAAAAATCAATCATTCTCATGCATTTTTGAGAACATTTGAATTTAAAATTGTATATACCTGAACACCACCTCTTGACCAGGTATGATATATTTAAGCACTTATTATAATTTATTTAAATTTATGAATTTATTCCAGTTTGATTATATATATTTTAATTTTCAAGAATTTATTTTACTGGCAATGTATAATATAACATCGCCAATGTATTTGTTCTGTTTGCATTATTCATCACCAACAAATTAATACATCACCAAGTAAAAAATATAATTATACTAATATTNTCACCAACAAATTAATACATCACCAAGTAAAAAATATAATTATACTAATATTTCTACTTTGGCATATATGGGTTAATACAAGGTACTTATCTCACACATTGTAAGCAGTTCAACATTGATTTTCAATGAGCTATGTCAATATTATATGTTTCTCATGAAAAATTATTTTATAATAAATATTGAATACAAAAACTCACATAAAGACGGAGCTTCAGAGACTTTAGATTCACTGAATTGGAGAAAATTTTCGCGACACTTTTAATTCTTCTATTCAGTTACCAGTAAGACAGGACTAAAGTTTGTTAATTGGCTATGCAATTATTCTCTTGGGAATGATAATATATATCTTTACTTTTAAAACCAGTCTAAACGTAGATTCTCATCATCTCCAACTTGGAGGAAGGTTCGGATAAGAATCTTTGTTGCTGGTTATATTCAATTCATCGTCTCTCGATTTTTCCTTCGTAGCTCCGTAAACTTGCTGAAAACAGGAAAATGTTAGACATTCATTCTCACTGTAGTCTGCTGTCTCTCAGTGGGAATCGTTTGACCCTGTTTTTATATTGTTTTGAATAAAATAATTAAAAAGAAAACCAGAATATTTGGCCTCTTTCAGTGGCGGATACGATTGTAGAAACCGGGAACCTTTTGATCATTTTCTTGCATTGTTTTGGATGATATAAAGGCAAAAGTTACATCCACGAATCTTCAGTAGGTTGTTACCTTCAGAATACCTGGTTTGTGGATAGGAAAGCATATTTCTCAAATATGAAGTGTTCCCAGTTGTAGTGTTGTAGATTGTTTTAAATATGTGTATCAATTTTTTTTCAGAAACAGTGAACTTCATTGTCCGACGGGCCTCCAGTCCATCATTTTCATCTTCCTAACTACCGCAGTGAGTTTTCATTTATTTTAACCTATAAAAATTGTATTATTCATTAATACATCCTTATTTAATTTTAAAAGTTTCAGGCATATAAAATTTCAGATTACTAGAATATTTTGTAAATTGATGTATTCACTTTCCCAACTTTCAACTAAACATCATGGGATTTTATTTCCTACAGTTTTTCTTACAATTTTATTTTTATTCATAATCAAATTATATATTGTATATTCAAGTAGATAATTGATCCTAAAATATATAATTATTTTTAATATTCAAAAAATACATAAAATGCATTTGTGTGAATTTACATGAAGTTCATGTTTTAATATTTCATTTTAAATTTTTCCATATTTTTAGTGAGAACAAAAGAAGATGTTCTGCATCGAGAGAGAAGATCTTAGTGATGTGTGGGGCACAATCATTGAATACACGCATTGCGGACAAAACTTGGAACATGATGAATCATCGCCAATTTGGTCGTGGTATATGGCACATAAGACTTATTATTTCAGGTGTCAAAATCCTGGTTGTTCTTATAAAATTACTGTTGTTGTGGAACATCATGGAGATCTTGAATAAAGAGTTCATACACATGTATGAAAAATGAATATGGGTTTTTTCTTCTTCAAATTTTTTTTTCATAAAAAATTTAAAAATTGTCTCATTTTTCATACATTGTTTATACATCAGCAACAATGAGCAAGGTGCTTTGTGGTGATACTCTCAGACTTGAGAAATCAGGAAATGACTCTAATTCTACAAGGTATGCTGTGGAACTGCCAGTAACTAAAAAAAAAACATTTCCAATAACATAACTGTCACTTCATATAAACCACACAACCTATACAACCTATACATGTTTATTTAATGTAAATTTAGTAATGTTGGGATATATTCTTCTGTTAATGTATTGCTGTATTCAATTAAAATTTGAATGAGAAACATTTTGAGTGGAGCAGCTTCATAAATAAAATCTATTGACCACACTATTCATTTGATAATTTTCAAAAAATTATTATAAACTGTTTTTGATAACTGATAAAAAAATAGGAATTCAATGATTTCAATTAATTTTCATTTAAATTTCATCATATGTGTATGCAGTAAGTTTTTGCAATGCTCATCTACTAATTACAAAGGATGTAAAATCTTTGAAAAAAGTGTATATAAAGTGTATATACAAGTTGTGCTTTTTTCTTTATATTTCTTTTTTTCATACACACTTAAACAAATTTTCTATAAAATCACTTCGGCATTTCATGTAAAATTTTCAATAGTTGTTTGCTGATAATTACAGAATAAATAAAATGGTATACATTTTTTCAATGCATTGATTAATTTGTCAAGTTATTGAATATACTTCAAAAGTATACTAATAATTTGGCAATTTTTGTGGTTGTTTTTTATTTTTGATCAATGACACAATAATGTTTATATTTATAATTTTAACATTCAATAATGGATATTGTGCAAAAATTGGAATTTTTATTTGGTTTTGGAATACAATACAATTTATACTTATACAAATACTTTTCATGTTAATTTTGCGAATAAATGTGATTGAAAATCAATTATATTTTTGAAGATCAATAATTCAATGTATAATATATCATTTGTAATGTAAAAGTATTCATTGCTGTTGTGTGGAAGAGTATAAAAATTGTTGTGAGCAACATTTAACTTCATCATTGCCAATGGTGAAAATACAATAAATAATTCACATACTGATCAAGTTTTGGAATTAAATTCTTATATAGAGAGCAGAACATTATTATATGATTTTTTCAGTTTAATAGAATATTTCTCAAAATTAATGTTTTCTCTTTCTCATCTTTTGAACGAGATATTCAGGGACTTTAATATATATATTATTTTATTTTTTAAAAAAATCTATTTATATATTGTATTTTAAATAGATCATTCATCATAAATTTTAAAATTACTTAATTGATTCAGTTTAACAAGTAAATTAAGTCTGTGTGAATAAGCTTGATGAAAATTATTTTTTTAATTTAATTTTCAAATTTTTTATACTTACAGGTTACAACCTAAGGAGAACTAGAAATTGAGAGCCATCATTACTTCATCTGATTTCCTTCTCACGAGGCATATCATCAACTCAGAAACAACCATCACGAAAGAAGATGTTTGTTATTGAAAAAAAATGCTTCAATGATGTCTGGCGCATGCTAGAAGAATACATACATTGCGGGGAAAAAATGAAACATGATGAAATGTCAGCATTCAAGTTGGGCGAAAATAAGCCACATTTGACATCATATTTCACCTGTTATGAAATCCCTGGATCTCCAAGGGAGTCCAGCTAGAGTTTTTTCCTCAGAAGAATTTAAAAGTTCAACATTTTTCTTACCCATTGTTTCAAGCCCCGGATCTCCGGGGCAGTCCTGCTCGTCTGAAGTAATATTAAAGAAAATATGATTCATGATTATTCTCCTCAAGTAATAATCCTCATTTTGGCCACGTTTTGTCAATTTTTATCATAAATTTATATCAAAAATTAATGAATTGGATTTCATAAATGTCTTTCCCAAATCTGAGTATGGAGAGGAGTGAAGGAACAGTATCCATCGAGAATCAACTCTTATGTTGGTGATTCATGCTTAAAATGAATGCTAACCTGACAAGGAGTGACCTCTACAATACAATTACTGGGGAATTAGGCCTAATTCCAACATTTTTTTAATTTAAAATGCATTGAATCCTTTTACAGTATCAA